GATGGACCCTAAATTCAACTTTGGAAGATCTGGACTTTGCAGATGATATTGTGTTGCTAGCAAGCTCAAGCAATCACCTACAAGGGAAAACGAACGACCTCGCTGCAAATGCCTCAAAAGTTGGCTTAAAAATCAGCAGGAAAAAACTAAGACAATGCAGCTTTCAAACACAGCGAACCCCATACTTCTTGAGAACGAGCATATCGAAGAAGTCAATCAGTTCACATATTTGGGCAGCATAGTGAGTAAGGATAATGCCACAGAGAAAGATATCACCAGTAGGCTTCAAAAGGCAAGGTCAGCATTTGTACAACTGAACAAAGTGTGGAAATCGAGTAATATCCAAGAAAGAACTAAAGTCAGGATCTTCAATAGTAATGTAGTATCTGTATTGTTGTATGGAGCGGAGTGCTGGAGGATCACTAAAGCAGACAGTCACCGGCTCTCAGTGTTTCAAACATCATGTCTTAGGAAAATATGCAAGATCTATTGGCCAGTACGGATTTCCAACCAAAATCTACTGGAAAGAACTAAGCAGAATAATATACTGACAACAATCAAGAGACGCAGGTGGAAGTGGTTAGGGCATGTCTCAAGAAAACACCTAAATGACATCACCAGAGTTTCAACAACATGGACCCCTGATATTGGGAAAAGACGAAGAGGGAGACCTAAAGAGACATGGAGAAGAACTATTTTAAAGGAGGCAAAAGAACTTGGAAAGACTATGGAGGAGCTACAACATCTAGCAAAGGATAGAGAGAGGTGCAAATTCTTAGTAGCGGCCCTACATGCCACCTAGGCGTAACAGGAATGATGAATGTTAGTACGCTAGTACGGGTCGGTTTTCTGCACTTTTTATTTCCCTTGTCCCTTAGTACACTAGTACGCTAGTACGGGACGGTGTTCTGCACTTTTTATTTCCCTTGTCCCTTGTTACGCTAGTACGAGCCTGTTCATTGCATTCTTTATGATATTTGCTTTATTAGAATATTTTTATTCAAAAAATATATGTTTTTATGACCTATTCAATCTTATAGCAAACATAACTTACTTAA